ATAGATAGATAGATAGATAGATAGATAGATAGATAGATAGATAGATAGATAGATAGATAGATAGATAGATAGATAGCAATGTATTTAAATTTATTTTGCATTGCTATCTATAAATTTATTTTGCATTGCTATCTAAATTTATTTTGCATTATCTATTTTGCATTGCTATCTATCTATCTATCTATCTATCTATCTATCTATTTTGGTCTTGAAACCAGAAACGGGAGAGCACTGGGTGGCTCTGCTTGTTCTCTAGAAATGTTGACCTCCAGGACATGGGACACCCAGTGATCTTCCTTAGTTTGGCCCTTTCTGAAGCCGTGGTGCGCTTTGCATGCCCACTCCCATGCGCGCACCTGTAGCCCCATCCATGGCCCCACAATACAACGCCCGCTCTTTGCCCCTACCCTTAATCCTTCGGAGCTGTCGCAACCCCCGTGAACAAACAAAGGCTTCTGCCTTTTCGGATGCTGACCGCTCGGCCTTGCACGAGAAAGCAGGTAAAAGGCGGAGAGGGGCCTGGGATTTCGGGGAACGGGGGAGGTTCGCAGTTCATTCCACCCCCACATGCACCCACCAGTGTTCATCCGGCGTCCCGGTGCAAGGTTCAGCAGCCTCGTCCTGCCTTCGAGATGGCGTGCCGTTTTCCAGGTCAAGGGAAATCAAACGGGGACAGTCCGGGGCACCGTCTGGAGAGAAGGTCCTGCATTTGAAGGAGGATGCAGAATCGGAGGCCCCAGTGGTCAAGGAAGAAGCTCATGGGCGGAAAACATCAACCCTGTGTTGTGGCCCTCCTGAAGACCCCACTGCAGCCCTTTACCTCCACCACCACCCCAGATGTTGATGCCTCTTCCTGCATGGTCCCTTTCGGTAACAACGGCTCAGCGTTTGTACCTGTTTCTCTTTCTAAAAGGTTTCCAAACCTCTCCTCGTGCTTAGTAGCTAACATCGAGAGCATTCAGCCGAAATACGCCAATATTGGTGGTCGTTGCCTTTGGACCTGCCCGCCACTAGATTGTGTCATCCCCTGGGAATAACAGATAAAACCTTGCCCGGGGGTGGGGGGGTGAAAGAGCTTGCCCACCCTTCCCTAAACGGGTGCACTGACTAAAGTCAAAGGTCTGTTTACTCCCAGTCTGGTGCTTTCCAGATACAGAGGACAACGGCTCCCATTATCCCTAGCTGGTAAGAGATGGAGGGACAGCAGGCGTGACGAGACAACTTGCATTTCAGCTCCCAATCCCCAGCAGCTCCCAGCCCATTGCAGATGAGGATCCCACAGATGTGAAGATGGGACCCAGCCCCCTTGGTCTGTTGCCTCTGTTTATGAGAGGTACAGTGCTCTTGAAAGTGGAAGCTCCATTTGTGCACCGCTTTTCTTGCTGTTGCCTACTCCAAGCATCATCTTCCCAGAACAACACCCCCGACACACAAATAAACTATGCCACACACTTCATTTACCATGAATTTCTGCCTATTAGGCTTGTTATCAGTCTTTAATTCTAAGGGGGTGGGGGGGTGGGATGCAGAGCTTGAGATCCTGGGAACAGGTGTCCCAAAAAGGTAACTTTTCCAAGCCCTGAAAAAAGATCCTTGCTTTCCTCCTGGGGGTGATTTTCTCGGGTTCCGACGTCGCCAGCAACTAGAGTGTCCCAGATCATGTCTGGAAGATGCAAGAGAGAGACACGGTCCCTGCCCCACAGAGGTTAAAATCGACCCACAAGCAACTACGGCCACGCTCCAGGGGTGCAGGACAATGAAGGCACTGATCCAGCGGCCAGTTACATCTGTCAGGTTTGTGTTGCTGCTAAGGTCTTGCAAAGCCAATCCTTGTCGATCCTCCTTTGACTCACTGGAGGGAGCGATGCGTTCTGTAGACGAGGGCCTCCTACTGGGGAGCAACTCTTGTGCCTCACTTGCTCTGCTTTTGGGAAGAAACCCCTTCTGCATTGGCAGCTGAGGTTTTGCAAAGCATACCCTCCCTCCCTCGAATCCCACGTTTGCAACCCTGCTTGGGCAGAACTCGGGGCCTGCCTAGGCATCCACGTTGGGCTGGAGGGATCCTCGGGAATCCCTACTTGGGCAGAACTCGGGGCCTGCCTATGCAGCCACGTTGGGCTGGAGGGATCCTCGGGAATTCTAGTCCAACAAGTTGCTTTTTCCTGGCATTGCTGAGGCTGCTGCTTATCACGGTTTGAAGAAATGGGGGTTGGTGGTGGTGGCTGAGAACCGAGCAAGGGTGAATAGTTCCCCAGCACCAGGATGGTGGGGAGGAAGCATGCGGATGTGAGAGAGATACTGGGAGTTGTAGTCCAGAAAAGTAACTTCTCCCAGCTTTGGATGCTGTCAAAAGTACAGTAATGCATCTGGGGTTCAAGGCCGCCCGCCTCCCACCATCCCTCTCCTTCCTCCCCCCCCACCCCAGACTTCTGTCTGGTGGTGGGCCTTGAACCCAGAGGGTTTATGTCAACAGTCGGTCCCTGACGGTGCAGAATCCTTGGCGTTTTCCCACTGGGTGTTCCGGCCTCAGCGCCAGTCTTCTCTGGACCCTGCAGCTCTCCAGCCATCGTCTGCGCACCACCTCGACCATGCTCCCCGTTGCTGCCTGGGTGCTGCTGGTGGGGGTCCTGGGGGCTTCACGGACCACCGCAGGGGAGCTGCTCCAGGAGATTGAGAGCAGCTACAATGGCCAGGTGAGCCGGGGAGGGCGCTTCGGGGGGAGGGCCCCCCCAAAATGGCCAAGCGATGCTCAGCTTTCTTCTCCCCACACATGAGTCTTTTTTTGGGGGGTGGGGATGATGGCCCATGTTTGGAAAATCTGGAAGGGGCTGCTGCCCTTCTTCCTGAACCTCTGCCCAGGTTTCTGCTCCGGGAGCAGCTTTTGGCTTCGGTTCAGCTTAAGGCCGTCAAAATCTGGATGTTCCCCAGAGGACCTTCCCTGACTCATTCCAGCTGGTCACCTGGACTGGGGGAGAATAAAAAAACACACACCAGTGATTCATGCTCTCCTCTATTTTTCCCCCAGAAGGACAGTAATATCCGCATCTTATTCACAAAAGAGTGATTCGGATTGCATCTCCTTTGCCTTCCCCCTCTGCTTGTCCTTTCAATCTCTCTCTGCTCTGCCCGGGACTGCCTAAAATAGAACAGGGAAGACTCCAACTCCTGTGTGTGTGTTTTTTTTAAATTATTATTGAAAGGACTGCCTTTGCCCTTCCAGGATCAGTCAAGGTGCCTCAGAGAACCTCTGCAGGTGAGGCTCTTCTAAGGGGAAGAAAGGAAACGATGACAGAGCCCAGTGGGGTCCCCGCAGCGGGTGGGGTGGGGGGTTAGGGGGTGGCGCAGGCCCTCCTTGTGAAACGCAGAATCACCCAGTGGGCCAAGAGTTTTCAGAGAGTCGGCCGATCCGCAAAAAGTCCCATCACCATCCCTTTATTTAGCAAGTAATGGGTATCCCTATTTTGGGTTTTTTAATCTGGTGTTTCCTCCCAACCGACGGCTCCAGTTCTTCTATCCTTACAAATCTTGGATGTATTTCGATGTTGGGACTTTTGATTGTTTACTGGTGAGTGACTGGTGGGGTGGAAGGTTTCAAAAAGCTGAAAACTACTGGCTGATCTCCAGCAGCCATTCTCAACCTGCCCCCCCCCGGCCTCCTGCCCCCACCGGGACCTTTAAAAGGGGGGGGGGCACAGACTGGAAACCGTTCTTCACTCACCGCCTAATAAGGTTCGTTGTGCAATTTAGACAATCCAGATCCAACCTCTAGTCCTTTCCTATTGTGTGTTCATGCCCCCCCCCAAAAAAACACTGGAAAAGTTACTTTGTTCGACGGCCTTTTTCAGGATGTCGTTGCTGGCATTGCCACTGGGAAAAATGACTTTTCTGTTGGGTTTCGAGGAACAAATGACAGGCGAGGCCCTCCCAGATGTTGAGCGGTTTTGCACTGGAATCCTCTCTCTTCAAAAGACTTCTGCTCACAAACAGCATCTTGAGTTTTGGAGGCACACTTGTGTAGAAGGATGATGTGTTCTCCTCCCTTCCCTTTTAGCATATCAGATTTATGAGTTTATTATTATTATTATTATTTTACATGTTGCTTGGCCACTTGGTCCACTTGAAAACAAAGCAGGGCATGGATAACAAATGGCGGCCGGATCCGGACATTCAAATACATCTCCGGTGACTTGAACGCAGGCTTTTTCTCACACCGTCTGTATGAATCAAGCTCAGTCATTCAAGAAGATCTGTGTGACCACCCAACTAATGTTTGTTAATGACGACTGTCAACAAGACCGGGATGGCTATGTATCGTTCGCTCCAATTCCACTTTTTAGGATCTAAAACTCACCCAGCCACCCAAGGAAGGGCATGATTCTAATTGGCTAATGGAGATAAAAGCTCCCTGCCTCCAGTGAAGTGAGCTGTGATCCAGGCAACCTCGGGTGCAGTGAAAACATCTGTCTTTCCAGCGTCACAAGACTGTCCCATGTTAGGGTCTTGTCCTTAGACAGCTGGATTAGCACGCTAAAATACGGCCAATTAAATGTTGGCCCTGGTTTCCCAACAGGGAAGCCTTGACATGCCAAATTAATTTTTTTATTCCTGCACAGCTGTTCAAGGTACCTGAGACGTACTTCTTGGTGGGGGGGGGAGCAGGGCCGGGCAATTGGAAAGTGATGACCTGGCACCTTTCTGTTTAATGTTTGCAGAGATCAATATGAAGGGAGGTCTTGGTATTATTCCATGTAGAGATAGGCAGCTTCCAGCGTCCATGTGCTATTCCCAGGGAATAGAATACAACGCTACTTACCTGCTTTTCCCCACTTTTAATAATCTTCCCTGGCTGTTTTAACGAATAACAGACAGAAAATACATTATTTGCAGGTTTGAGAGTTCTTTTTTTTTCTTAAACACTCAGCGACATTCAGAGCCCGCCGACTTCATTCCCAGGAGATGAGAGTGCTAGGAAGAAGTGCTGAATTTACAAGCATTTCATGGTGCATCAAAATGAGAGCAGCTATTAATGAATTAATTAATTCTTTCCAGACACAGCATCCGTGGAGCCATGCTGCCACCCTGTGGCCGGTGGGTGTAAGGCGCTTTATGACTTCTAGCCGCAGCGACACCTACTGGTCCTATCACTGGTGAAGGGCAAGACCTTTAGGACTCCTTGCTTAATTGATGCTGCCCCCTAGTGGCCGGTTGAGATTAATGGCCCTTCTCTTTTCCCCAGTACGGCCAGTGTTTCCAGTCCCTCTCTGGCGAGGCTGGAGCTTTGAACCTTGGACAGAGATGGGGAGAGTCCTCTCCAACTGCTACTTTATACATTGATCTGCATGCGGTCAAAAGGTAAACAAACAAGATTTAAGGGAGGCCTGAAGTCTTGGACTCTTGGAATTGAACCCTAATTATTTGTTGCTGTTAGCAGGTATGGCGTTGCATGACCCTCACGGGGCTTTTAAGGAACGTGAGGCAGTTAAGGAGCGGTTTTAGCAGCGCCATCCCCCATTGAGTCTCCATGCCCAAGCCGTGATTCGAATCCAGAGCTCCTGACCCGTAGTCTGGACCGCCGGCCAGTATATCATACTGGCTCTCCCATGACCTACGCATGATTTTTTTAGTGGCGTCTAGAAGCAAAAGCAAAGGTCCCCATTCAGCTGGATCATGCCTGGAAATATATAGAGCTTCCTGCCAGGAGGACGAGCGGGTGGAGATGAGCGAAGGATTCAGTGATCAGACTGCAGTGATTTGTGTCCACAGGGCCCCGAGTGCGAGGCTAGGGGCATCCAGTTAGAAAGCTTGTAGGGCTGGGGATGTTGTGACCCCCCAGAATGCCATTCAAGCCACCCTTATTGTCCTGTCCAGAGGTGGTCCCGTTTTTGGACGAGAGCTCCTAGAATCTTGATATTCCCCGTTGGGATGGACTAAAAGGGCGATTCTGAAAGTTCCCCTTAAAAAACAAACAAACCTCACCAGTTGAATTTCTGCCTTTCAAGAAGTAAAAGCTCAGCCTCCCCCACCCCCTATGAAGCAAAACTGCTGTAGGAGAAAGGATGAAATCAGAATTATGCCAGGGCACGGGGGGGGGAGGCGGTCTGGATCACCGGCGCCGGTAAACAGACCCCCTGGCACCAAACCCTGATGTCCTCTTCCCGCCAGCGCGGCCTCTTCCTTTGACTTCCGTACCTTTGACCCCGAAGGCGTCATCTTCTACGGGGACACCGTGCCTGGCATGGACTGGTTTGTCCTGGCTCTGCGCCGAGGGAAGCCCGAGATGCAGATCCACAACGCCATCACCAACCTCACGGTCTCCGGAGGACGTCGCCTTGATGACGGCCGGTGGCATCGGGTAAGGACAGGAGGGCGATGGGGCATCGGGTAGCGCCGGCGGGGGGGGAAAGAGGGTCTCTTTTTGGTCGTTGTGGGTCCATGCGCTTCGCTGGCTTTGGAGCCCCCACCCCACCCGTGCAACTGGGAAAGGAATCCGAACCAGGGTCCTAAGAAACGTCAGCGCTCAGGAAAGGTACCGTTCGGGACTACAACTCCCATGATCCTGCAGCAGCCTGGCCGTGCCAGTGGGGGCATTCTGGCAGAGTGCAAAGAACTGATCCTTCTGGGAAAACTCCAGAAAAATAACTGAACTCACAGGCCACCCGTCGGTCTTTCTTGCTCTCGAGATGTCCCGCATTTAGTTCACGACTGCTGGACAGGTGGTCTGGGGGTGATGGGAGTGGTAGTCCCGGCTATCGCTGGGGGACACAACCCTGGGAAACTCCAAGGGGGCTTTTTCTGGCCCTGCTGGGCCAGGTCCGAAGAGATCAACGTGCCCAATCGCACACCAAAAGCTCCATGCCGGGAGTTTGGGATTTGAGGAAATGCCTTGTGTTTATTGTACCGCCTTGAAGGGCATTGGAGGGCAGGATGTCCAATAAAACAGGGAGTATTTTAATTTTGTTTTTATTTAAAAAATAGCTCTTTCGGCAGGGGCAGAGAAAGAGGGACGGGGAGGGGGTGTTCTGCGTGGCCTTTTCTGTATTTCAGCGTCTCCCTTCCGCCTGACAGGTGATGGTGAAGAACGAAGGGCACGTGGTCCTGCTCGAAGTGGACGGAGACGAACATCTGGTCTTGAGCCACGTCTCTTATCCGATCGTTGAGCAGCAAGAGCCGTCCATGCGCATCGGGGTGGGGGGACTGTTCATCCCCGTGCAAGAACTGCTGACTCCAGTAAGGCCACCCTCCCTCCTTCGACCTCTAGAAAGGCCCTGATCCTGCATTGCCCGCAGAAGGAGCAAAAACAAGTCACCGTTTCAGACAACAGCTCCCATCGTCCTGCAGCGGGGGCGGCTGGTGTGATATCCCTCCCCTGCCACGGCCGTTGTGATGGGTCTTGGGGCTTTTTTTTTTAACTGGCAGGTTGAAGGAGGAAGCGGCTTCAGGCGGCTGATTTACAGGGCCCTGAAAAATCAGGAAACGTTTGGGGTTTTGAAAAATACATATTATTGTATTTTTTTACTGCCAGGGAGAATCAGGTGAGGGAGAGTTTCAGTCAAAGTAGCTTTGTCTATACAGAGATACGACAAAGAGGGGATTCGTGGCTGGGTTTCCTCAGGCGTCAAAATGTTTAGGGGCGGCACTTTTTAAGCCCTTTTATGAGTTCCCCGAATGGTCACGTATTGAGGAGTCTGCTTGTAATGAGAAAGCCATGGCTGCCCATGTAGTTGCTGGACCAGATGCAACCCCCCTTTTTAAATGACTGTTTCCCTGGGGGAAAAAATTCTGAGGAGAATGACTGAAGGTGGGTTAAGTTCTCCCCAGACCTTGGAAAAGTCATTTTTTTTAGACCAGCCCATGTGAGCCAGAGGGGATCCTGGAAATGTTTCCAAGCCGTTCTATCACCATGAAGAAATCCAGTTTATTTTTTTTAAAAAAAGCAGGCCTCTTTTCTCTTTATGAAGCTCTTTCCAGCAGCATAGAACCTTAGGCTGGACTATGGGGTTATAAGGAAATGTGCAAAAGGGAAGCAGGCTCTCGCTTGCAGGCAGAAAATGAGGGTGCTCCCTGATTTGCTTGCATGCTTTGGTTGGGAGAGGGTGCCTTTAGAAGCCAGGATTAGAGAATCTGCTTTCTTCGATTCCAGCCCCTGGGCTCTCTGCTTGTTGCCATTTGGTAAGGAGAAGTGTTTTTGTGTGGCTGTGTGGTGTTGTTGTTGTTGTTGTCGTTCCTCCTGTACCTTCACCCCCCCCGTTCTCGCCCCGCAGCTGAACACGGCCATGGACGGCTGCATGAGGCGATGGGACTGGCTGAACCAGACCGCCGAGTGGCGGGAAGGGACCTCCTTGGAGGATGATGGGACCAAGAGCTGCTTCCCCAACATCCGGCCCGGCAGCTTCTTTCCCGGCCGTGGCCTGGCCACCTTCTCACTGACAGGTATCACCACCGGGGGGCGGTGGATGTGGATGGGGCCGGGAGA